CATGGAAAGCAGCATGCAGAGCTGTGTTCCTGGGCCCTGGTGCCCTGAGGTAGGGGCAATGAGCTTAAAGTAGGGGTCTCCAGACAAAGGGCCAGTTTACCCTCCTTACGGCTTTAGGGGGCCCATACTGTGGCCAGAGGGATTTGAAAAAGCCCTGGTATCAGTAAGAGTAAACAGTGCCCCCATCATTGGTTTTAGTGGAAGGAATTGTGCCCTATCGTTGGTATCAGTGGGAGGAATGGTGCCACATTGTTGGTGTCTGTGGGAAGAATAGTGCCCCATTGTTGGTGTAATTTAATGGCATGGTGCCCCAAAGCCTGGATAAAGGCATGCAAAGGACCACAGTTTGGAGACCATTGGCTTAGAGTAACATGACAGATCAGTTGTTAATATGGGTTAAGTAGAGAACATAACCAAGAGCTTGACAGATTTTTGCACTCAGTGTCAACAACATCAAGAGCACTAATTTCTTCTTAAATACAGTGCAAGGAGCCCCTATTGTACAGCAAAGATTTGTGTATCCTATTTGGTCCCCTTTAAAATAGTGTATTCACTATGAGCATCCAAGCAACATATGAAAGGTACACCACTCTGTGGGGTGCATTAAGTGCCATTAATTCCATATAAACCCCAATGTTCAAATATTTTAGGAGCTGATGGAGCTGTTCTGCAATGATGCACATACAGTACAGTACAGTGCATTGCAATGAAAGTTTGCTTCAGGTCTGTTTTTACTGCATTGTGATGCATTGGCAGTCCATTTAATATTAAACACAATACACATTAACACCTGACACACACAATAACACATGTGCAGTACTGCAGTGCAGTGCTAATGGGTAAAGAAGGCCTTAAAGTCTAAGACTGGCCATACACTATATAATTTTCTGTCCAATGGCTGTCCAATTTCCTTTAGATTTACCTTCAACTATGTAGTGCAAGGGACTGCCTAATTGGATACAACTGAAAGTGTTGTTTAGGTTTGACCTCGTATTATATGGTTTTTGATAAATCTAAAGCAAAATTCTCAAGAAAATTGTATAATGTATGGCCAGCCTAACTGCAGTCAATATTTTTAGTTTTGGGTAGCATGAGGAAAGGTTCACATTGGTATTAGGTTCGTATTTTTGTGTATGATCCCAATTGGAAAGATTTTACCTAATTTCCTATCCCTGTGAAGAAACGAGGGTAGCAGCCCTGGTCACCTGGACAAGAAAACACCAACAGTCATAAAACCATTGTCAGACATTTCCACCCTTCCCTGCTCTACTAAATATGTGTGGGTTTGCTGTTGACTGTGTCTCTATTAGAGAAATTTTCCATGACTTCCTATGCTGAACCAATGGGGAAACAGAAAGCAATAAAAAACTCACAGAGATTCTCACCATTTCACTTTATCCAACAAAACAAACGTTTGCCTGGAGTTAGGTGTTCAGTTTGTGAAAGTAACTTTCAGACTAAGGTGTCCTTCTGGGATGGTGAATTGTTGTGTAAACCTGTCTGTCTGCTTCACAAATGTACCACTGCAGGTTTTCACACTGTCAAAGTTGCCTGCAGCAAGTATATGTCAGCTATCAACTACACTGCATGTGTCTTGCTTATGGATGTAAAAGAGACACAGCCTACGGTGATCAGACCTCACCTCACCCCCTGGGTGCTGGTAGACCAGTACGGACAGTGCCGTTCCACAGATATAAGAAAAGAAAGGTCTTCATCACACTAAAAGATGGAATTTATCCTTTCATAACCAATATTCAGGGATGTGCAGGGTCCCCGTCAAAAGTACCTGTGCCACAGAAGTGGCCAGTGATGCCAACTCACATGTGGGTTACAGAAACAATGAAGTCTTATCCAGCATCACACCTTCCCCTACAGGGCTACCATTAGAATTAATGGGGCCCCATACTGCCTACCGCACAGCACCCACTGCACAGTGGGTGCAGCAAAATTGCACAAAGAGAGGGAGGGGCTTAAAACTTCAGCCTACATACAGGGTTCAGTGCTGAGAAATTTGTAAGGTACAGGGCACAGGTTTCACAAGTATATAATATATAGGGGTCAGCAGCATGTAATGCACAGAGTATAAAGGTGAGGTGTATGTAATATATACAGAGCAATATCAGGAGTATGCAGAGTACATAATACAGGGGTCAGTTGTTTCTAATATATATATTGCAGGGGCAGAAATATATACAGCTCAGTGTAGAGCACACCCTATTTTACCATAACCCCTTTTTGCATGGCACAGAAGTACCACCTATGGACATACACAAAATGTACACACACAACAGCTGACCTCTCTGGTGACATTGCTGGTTGTCGCTCTGGCTCTTTCAGCTACTTCTGCCGATGGGAAAGCATGAAGCTAGTGGTTCATGGAGTGGCATGACAAGATGTGGATGGGACTGCAGAAGGCTGGGCAGAGAGCACATGGTCAAGAGGAGAAGGCCAGAGTGCAGAGACCTCATTGAGTGGAGTAATCCTCTGTGTCGTGACCTCCAACAATTAAATTAAAGTCCCGGCCTGCCCCAGGAGATTGATATAGAAGAAGAGGCAAGAGGAATGCTAATTTTATTGTTGGACGCTTCAACACAGAGGATTACTCCACTTGCTCCTCTGCAGCTCCTTGCTGCACTGCCCCACAACCTGACTTTTTGTCTTCCAAATGGAGCCCTGAATGCCAATAACATCTAATCTCATAGGGCTTGTGCATACCTGCACAATCAGCAGCTGCTAGCTGCTGGAAAATCATGGACCCATGTTTAGAAGCTTCATCCCACCCAATAATCTACAAAGCTTCCAGGATCCACAACCCATACCAGGATTTACTAGTACTGGAGAAAACTGCAACACACATTTCTGCAGCCCTTCAGCCTGATAGCTTGAGAACCCTGGGTAACACCAAATCCTTTCCACATTATTATATGGTGAATTTTAGTACCAGCACTCAAGATGATGGTACCAGCACTCAATCCAAAACATTGTCTTGGTGTTCACACAGGTATAACATTATAGTAATGGATATAGTTGGCACTCTCAGGAGAACACAACTAATCAAATAGTAGATTTATTACACCAACATCTGCTTATTTCTCAAGACCTATCCTTGAGTGTCTACTAAGTCCATTGCTAGATACGAGCAGGGCCCTCTGTTTCCTCTTGTACCAAATTGTATTGTAACTGTAATGTCTACCTTCATTTTGTAAATCGCTACACAAACTGTTGGCGCTATATAAATCCTGTATAATAATAATAATATACAGTATACAGGGCTTTTTTTCAGCAGGAAACGCAGTTCTGGCACCTCCAGCACTGAATGTATGTAATGGCAAGGGGTGCTGAAGTGTGCTGGAGGGTCTATTGATGCTGGCTGCTGGGGATCTATTGTTGCTTGGGAGGTGGAGAATCTCTTAATGAGGGAGGGGTCTATTGTTGCTGAAGAGTCAGTTGTTGCTGGGAGGGATCTACTGCTGAGGGAGGTGTCTGTTGTTGCTGGCTGCTGGGAGATCTATTGTTGCTGGCAGGGGTCTATTGTTGCTCAGGTGGGTCTATTGTTACTGGGGGGTGTTTTGTTGCTGGGAGGCTTTTGTTTCTGCCAGCAGGAGATCTATTTTACTGCTTTTTATGTTTCATTAGCAAATTCCATAAAAATTACTTAACACCACAAAATGATACTTGCTTCTGTATTCACTAAAAGAGGTGGTAATGGTAGGTGGGTAGGCTATGGAAGAATAGGATGGTGCTCGTAGGTGGGTAGGAGGTGGCTACAAGGGTTGACTTAGAAGGGAGGAGTTTCTGCACCTATTCTGTGAGAAAAAAAGCCCTGACAGTATATCATATATATGTATTTACAAAGCATGTCCTTACAACGAGTGAAAAACAAAACAAGAAAGAAATGATGGCATTGTACTTTATACTGGTATAAGCAGGCCTCTGGGCCTAGAAGTAAGAAGTTAGTTTCATACCACAAAGCCAGCTAGTTCTGGACTGTCTATAGAGTGCCTGCAGCATTGTGTACAGTTGTCTTATAAAAATGTGTATTTTATTAGTTATGAATAAAAGCATTACAGGCAATGGACACAATACACTGTACAGTACCACAGGTACTGCGGGCAAGACATAGACATTAGACAGTGCTCCCCAAACTTGAAAAAGAACTTTCATATAAAAGATTGTTCACTAACTGCCAGAATATTTTCTGCTGAAAACATTTAAATCAATATATTGTTATAGACTGCATGCGTACCTCATCCCTGATATACAACTCAAAGAAAAACAAAACCTGATGGGACTTTACTGGTACATTAAGTGGACAACCTCATGCTTATGCATTAGCATATTTATTGAAATACTTTTTGAAATGACATTGTATAGAAACAATACATGGCTAATCAGCCCGAAAAATAATGACATATTGTTCCATGGCATAAATGGCCTCTAAAGGTTTACGCGTTTCGCTTGTTAGCTTCCTCAGGACCCCAAAACTGTAGGCGAAGAGATCAAATGCCTTGACTAGAAGATGTATATACATATAAACCATTATTCATACAAATACAGTATCACAAAGGCATCATAAACCTTAAAAAACCATTGTCCGCAAACTCACATGCCAGCATAAAACGGTGATGCGAGGTAGCAGCACCCACACAGAAAGTCAACAAAATGGTCTTGGGTGAGCGTCCAACATCCACAGCCCCTCTCCCTCATCCCCAATCAAATGGAGTCCTGTAGAGAGAACAATGATTCTCAATGGTAATTAATGGTTTATATGTATATACATCTTCTAGCTAAGGCATTTCATCTCTTCGCCTCCAGTTTTGGGGTCCTGAGGAAGCTAACAAATGAAACGCGTCGACCTTTGGAGGACATTTATGCCATGGAACAATATGTTGTTATTTCTCGGGATGATTAGCCAAGTATTGTTTTTATACAATGTCATTGCAAGATGTAGTTCAATAAATATGCTAATATATAAACACAAGGTTGTCCGTTTAATGCACCAGCAGGGGTGGACTGACAACTCATGGTGCCCCTGGGCAATAGGGGATCATGGGGCCCCTGTGTCCTTGCCCAAACTCAAAAAAGCCTATGAAAAAGGTACCAGGGGCATCTCATGGGGCTCCCTACTGGCCCTGGGCCCTCGGGCAGTGCCCGAGTTTCCAAATGGTCAGTCCGCCCCTGTGCACCTATAAAGTCCCATCAGGTTTTGTTTTTCTTTGAAAAGATTTCTAACCAAATTCACATGACAGATAAAATACATCCAGATAATGCTAGTGGTTACAGGAAGTACACTTGTGCATTTTGCACAGTTATTCAATCATCCTAAAATGGAAAAATAGTTATGCAAAAAGATTGCTTAATGTAAAGTAGATTAAAATTCCATTTGTAGAGATCTATTTTGTTCTGTTGACTATGGTTTAAAGCTAATCAAAAGCTGCAACCTATGGCACTATGTCCTAGATTAGTCAAAACTATGTACATCATATGAGAGACTCCACATCTGTCTCGCTCCTGAACCACGCTCCCTACCACTGAGACGCGGACGATACAGGCACCAGTGACAGACGTTCCACATGGTGTTTCTACACCACAATACCCTACATGATTTTATTACTCTACTACCATGTGAGTGTTCCTACTTTTATTACATATTAAAGTGGTCTGCTGCACTTAGAGGCGCTTCTTCTTCTCTCCTCTCTCCTTATCATATAAGGGACTACCTACTGTATACACTTCATTTAATTTGTATCTAATCAGGCAGTATTGATATTAGTAGATCAAAAGGGGCTTGGACAATAAGAATGTTAAGAAGTATTGTACCAACAATCTTTTGACCGTGTTTCTTGATGAGTATTTAAATCCAAAAGCAAAAATTTAATATATTGCAGTTTACTAGTCCTTAGATGTGAAAACCTTTATCCATAACAGAAAATAAAAACCTGTAACTTCTGTAAAAGTTTAACCTTTAATTTGTTCATCACTTATGTAAAGTCAGTTTAAATCTACTATTCCTTCTAATACTAGCCCAGGGGTGGGCAAACTTTTTGACTTGAGGGCCGCAATGGGTTCATATATTGGACCCGGGGGCCGGACCAAGAGTAGATGAATGATGTGTATGTGTCATCCATAGTAAGTATAGTAATATTCCCCTATAGTAAGCATAGTAATTAATCCCCCATATAGTAATTCATCCCCCATAGTAATTCATCCCCCATATAGTAATTCATCCCCCATATAGTAATTCATCCCCCATAGTAATTCATCCCCCATAGTAATTAATCCCCCATATAGTAATTCATCCCCCATAGTAATTAATCCCCCATATAGTAATTCATCCCCCATATAGTAATTCATCCCCCATAGTAATTCATCCCCCATAGTAATTCATTCCCCCATATAGTAATTCATCCCCCATAGTAATTCATCCCCCATAGTAATTCATCTCCCATATAGTAATTCATCCCCCATAGTAATTCATCCCCCATATAGTAATTCATCCCCCCTATAGTACGTCATCCCCCCTATAGTAATTCATTCCCCATATTAATTCATCCCCCATATTAAGTCCCCAAGTCCCCCCTGTTTCAATTCACTTACCTTTGCTCCGTGCGTTCCTCTCGCTGTGTTCCCGCGCCGTTCCGGTCTTCAGGGCAAACTGTGAGAAGAGCCTAGCTCCCCTCACATTCGTCACGCTGCCCCGCCTACACACATCCTGACAGCCATCCTGACAGTATCACGCTCCGCGGGCCGGATTAAAAGGTCCGCCGGGCTGTATACGGCCCACGGGCCGTAGTTTGCCCATTGCTGTACTAGCTTCTCTACAGCTTGACAATACTGCTGTCCATGGGTGGCTATATTGCTCCTCTATAGGAATGAGTGCGTGTGCTTTCCTAACCAATTTCAGGTCAGAACCCGAAAATCAACTATCATACCTGAGCAAATGAGCTGTAGTCGTGTGATTCCCCACCTCTCAGCTGACATAAACAAAGGGGACAATGATGCTGATGACATTGTTGACCTAATATAGTCCCTTTGTGTACGTCAGCTGCAGGGAGGGGACCCCTGCCCGCAGCTCAATGGCCCAGGAATGATGACTGACTTCGCGGTTTGGAACAAACACAAAGCTCATCCTTATGTAAGACCAAAAGTGTGTTATTGGCAGGAACACCAGGTGAGAATGAGGATAAAAAAGGCCTAAAAAAGAAATTTAATGGTGCCACCACATCTAAGCTGTTCAATATTACATTGTAGTTTTTTGGGTTCAGATACAGTTTAAGCCTCAGCCTTCTTACATGAGTGTGTTTGGAGAAGGATCTTAGTGAGGATTCTTTCCCGAGCAATCTATGGCAGAACTGCATACAGATTAGTAAAAGAGTATAGAATACGCAAAAAGTAACAAAAACAGAAGACAATGACAAGCTCTGATTCTGCAGATGGCCCAGATGTAGTTTCTCCTTACAGGATATATGTCATTAAAGAATTACATAGTTGTCGGATCTCTAAATCTGAAAATGCTAGTTTGCTGGCTGTTGTGCGGATCCACAACCTAAATACTTTATGAGCTACTCATCCAGCACAAGTATGCAAATCAATCTCAGTCGCTTCACGGGTTGCATTTTTTTTTTATTAGATCAGTGACGCAAAATATTGAAGTAGAGACAGCAAAGCAAAATTATTTCCAGAAGAAAGCAATGACATTTTTTCTATATTACCATTTTCCTTTAAAAAGAAAGTGAATTCACTCAAACCAGACACTTTAATAATGGATGTAAACTGCTGGTATGATGTGTTGAGTTCCTGTCTACAGCCACAAGATCTTGATGGAATTCCAGCCTTTGCGCTAATAAATCACGTCTAAAATATTCTATATTAAAGAAAAATCTAGCAGGGGAGAAGTTGAGAACACGTGCAGATAATCACCTGGGCCCCTGAGAAGTACAAGAATCTGCGTATTGATTCAAGCTGTTATCAGATGATTGTAGCCGTATTAGTGCATTTGCGACAGAAACAATTGATTACTGTCCATGATACTTTTTTTATTTGCACTAACATACAATTTTGAGGACAAGCTTTCGGGGTATGTCCCCTTCTTCAAAGTCTATGCAGTACTATCAGTACTTAGTACTGCTTGGACTTTGAAGAAGGGGGCATACCTCGAAAGCTTGTCCTCAAAATTGTATGTTAGTGCAAATAAAAAAAGCATCTTGGACAGTACTCAAGCCGTTATCACATACGCAAAGCTGACCTTTTTTCATGTATTGACCCTTTAATAGCCATACTTACAGAGAAGCTGAGGGTAAAGGTGATGGACTGGCCAAGCACATCTGCAGACCTAAAACCCTATTGAGCATCTGTGGGGCATCCTCAAACGGAAGGTGGAGGAGCGCAAGGTCTCTAACATCCACCAGCTCCGTGATGTCATCATGGAGGAGTGGAAGAGGACTCCAGTGGCAACCTGTCAACCTGTCTGGTGAACTCCATGCCCAATTGATGGAAAATAACGGCGGGCACACAAAATATTGACACTTTGGGCCCAATTTGGACACTTTCACTTAGGGGGTTTACTCACTTTTGTTGCTTGTGGTTTAGACATTAATGGCTGTGTGTTGAGTTATTTTGAGGGGACAGCAAATTTACACTGTTATACGTTGTACACTCACTACTTTACATTGTAGCAAAATGTCATTTCTTCAGTGTTGTCACATGAAAAAAAGATAGAATAAAATACTTACAAAAATGTGAAGGGTGTACTCACTTCTGTGAGATACTGTATTTCTCATTGCTAAAGATGTCTCACAAAGCGTTAATTTGTTCTCAGTGACGGTAACAGACATAGATTGCTTACCTTACATGTAGCAGACCGGAATGTACAGGATCAGCCAGCAGCTCCAAGACACATTTCAGTGCACAAGCATTTCCCTTAAGTTCTTTTCCTTCCTGATCAGCCAGAACATAGTTATCTACACTACAATGCTTTGCCTGGAAAGACTGGGGAGTGGTAGTGTTCATGTCATTTTGTTTCCCTCCCCATATAGCTGTGACAATATTTGTCTACTTTCCAGAGAGTTCAGACCAAAGGAATGTCAGCCAACAGGTACAGTGAAAAACTGACCCAACTAGTTTTTTTTTTATGCGGTAATCTCTGCAGACTGTGATTTAGAGAAACTATTTTTTTACCTACGTTAAGATTTGCTGTGAATGTGACAATATTGCAATATATTTCCTAGATAAGAAAATCATCAACACACCAAGGGTGGAGTGATGGGTGCAGTCAGCCCTGGGTGCAAGCAATAGAAGGATGCTTGGTATGCAGGCCTGAACTCTTAACGCATTCAGCAGAAGCCAAATGTCATGTATAAAAGCAGTATTACTTTTATATGCTATTATATATGTCAGTTTCCTGCTGTCAGTGCTAGTTAAGGATGCCGGCAGATGCTGCCGCGTACTTGGCAACCATTCACTTACATGGCCAGGATCAAGGATAGTTAACAAGTGGTAACCTGGGCAGCACAGTGGCTAAATGATTAGCCCTTCCGCCTGGCAGTACTAGGGCTGTTGGTTCAAATCCCAACCACGGCACCACCTGCCTGGAGCTTGCATGTTCTCCCTGTGCCTGTATGGGTTTCCTCCAGGTACTCCAGATTCCTCCCACACTCCAAAGACATGCTGGTAGCTTAATTGGATCCTGACTAAATTGTCCCTAGTATGTGTATGTATGAATGTGAGTTAGGAACCTTAGATTGTACACCCCTTGAGGGTTAGGGATTGATGTGAATGTACAATATATATGTAAAGCACTGCATAAATTGACAGCACTATATAAGTACCTATAAAAAATAAATAAATAAATATCTGTGCAAAAATCTAGAAAAAAAGCATGCCCCCCCCCCCAAAAAAAAAAAAAAAAAAAAACAGACTCTCATCCAAGCATGCAGCCTTGCAGACCAGGAAAGGGGGGTGGGGTGAGCATGCAGTACTGAAACATAGCAGGCTAGTTGTCAACATGGAGCAGG